AGATTTTAAACAAGCCTAAGGTTTTAGTTTAAAACCAAAATAGGGGTTTTCAAATGAAGGTATTGAAAATGGTTATGGGTATAGATATGAAGATGTGTTGTGTTGAATTTGTTGATTTTGACACATGGGTTGGATTTGAGAGAGAATGGGGTTTTGCCCTAAAATGTTTCAAATAATTATTTTGTTTAAATAATGAAATTGGTATTGGAAATATGAAATTAGATGAATATTTAAATAAATGGTGGAGTTAGATGTATATTATCTCTCACCTATGAAAATTTGAATAATTTATCTATCTTGGAGATTGTATATCTGTTCAGAAATATCTATTTTGGGTTATTGGTGAATGATAGCTATGATTGTTGTTAAAATTGCATAAGGATTAGGTGAATTGAATTGCATATGTAATATATTTAGGAGGAGAAAGGGTATATACTCCATGTTTGGGAGAAGAAAGGGGATGGACTTCATTGAATTAAGTTTGCCTGTGTGTCTAGGGTGAAAGTCCAGAAAACTACGCGTATACATCGGTGCCGATTCCCACAGAGGAAATTTTCGTAAAATGACAAATTGAAGTGTTTGTGTAATGATTATATTGATTAGGGAACCACTGAGTTGTAGCCTCAGTTGGATTGTTTGGATAACAATGGGTTTGACTCATGAATTGAGGTGAAATAAATTGTCATGAAATGAATTAAGATAGAATGGATTGAGATGTGACACTTAGCATATTATAATCTTGTAAGAATATGAATGAGTTTACCATGGGTATTGTATATGCATATCATACTTATATCTTTATTAAGATTCATATATTGTGTTAGATTATTTCTATTGGGATTTGGCTCACCCTAATTAGGAAAAATTATTTTCAGATGTTAGTGATATGCCTCTATTAAGGACTTAGCTTGGGAGGATTGTGGAGCTGAAGGCTCACTTTTGTTTATTTTGTATTTACTTTTTGTACAAGCCTAGCGCTTTATTTGTACTGAACTTATGACTCATTTTGTTGTAACTAAACACGGTTTTGAAAAAATGTAAGCCTTTATAAATATTTGTTTAGCTTTCATTCAATCTACTACTTATAACACATGCTATAGATTCAGAATGAGTTATTTATGGATGTATATCGCATGTGTCAATTTTTGTAAGTTAAACTTTGATTAATGAAAGCATGTTGTTTCAATTTTACTTCCACTTATGAGACAAGTCTATCGTATTTATTTTCGGGCGTTACAAATTATATCATAATTTATCGATTCATAACCGGTATGAGTTAGTTTGGGGATTCTAATATTAGATTAAACATTCAATGGGCCCAATTTGGGCCCCGTTTTGATGATTCGAACCATTCATATTTTAGGGTTCGTCGAGTACATTATCTCTGTAAAAAATCAAATCGATCAGATAACGAAAATCATGTGTTTGGATCAATTTTGTATGAACTGTTTATTTTCTCACCGTCCATTTTTTCATACAAAATTGATATAAACACGTGGTTGCCGTTATTTTATTGACTTGATTTTTTACAGGGATGATGTATTCGATGAATTTTAAAATATGAATGGTTCAGATTACCAAAATGGTGCCCAAAAGTAAGCGCAGAAGGTCTGACAACACTTTTCTAGTCCGATAGAGGACTAGAGAAACCCAGACCATGTTAAAGAATCAATAATGTTTAAATTTTAAGTTAAATAATTAATTATTTTTCATATGTGTACGTATGAATGTATCAAAATCATGCATTAATGCAATCTTAGGGAAGTAAATTTGAAAATAAATATAGTATGGTAAACATAAATTAAGGAAGTAATTTGAAATGGCAATTATGGTAGCATAATTTAAGGGTTTAACATAAAACTTCATGAATTTTATTATGAACTAATTAAAATGCAACACATAATGACACTTAATATTTTCATTATTAAAAAAAAATTGAGTTGAGATTTTGAACCTTAAAAAATCCCTATTAACATTTACTGTGTATGAAAATAATGAGATTTGATATATATGTTGAGTAATAATGACCATGGTGAGAGGAAAAAAAACATGGTAGGAAATTTTAATTATATAAATTATTTTTTATTTTATGGTGAAGAATTTAAAATATTTTAATAAAAAATATTTTACGACGAAATATTTTGAGTGTCTGATTTATTAATTTTTTTAATTGGAAAACTCATTTTTTAAGTGTGTGATTTATTAATTATTATTTTTTAATTGGAAAACTCCTTCCTTGTTTAATGGTAAGGAATGAATGATTTTAGGAATAAAAAATACATTCTTTATTTTAAAAAGAAAGTGTTAGATTGTGATTTATTAATTATTTTTTAAAATTGAAAAATCAAGAAATTTGAATTGAGCATTTAGAGCTCTCTTAAAAATTCCTTTTTACTTATATAATATATAGATAGATAGATAGATTATTTTTTTTGATATTATTAATGATTTTACTAAAAAAATGGTAGCTTAAATACAAAATATAAAAAATAAACGAAACAAAACAAATTTTTAGGCAACTCGGGCCAGTCTTGGATACAATTTAGATTAAGGGTTGTTTTAAAAATTAATTATTTTAGTTAATTTTTTTTATTTATAAAAAGATGTGGAAAAAAATATAAATAATAGTTAACTTTTTTTGTAATAAGTTTTTAACTATTTTAGTATCTTTCCAAAATGGCCCTAAGTTTGGATTAAGAGGGGGACATGACTTGAAATTGAAATTACGGATTTAGTATAAAAAAAAAAAAAAAAAAAAAAAGCCTTGAGCATTTTGAGCAACACATATTATATATTTTTGTTTATCATTATTCTTATATTATTACCTTTTTGAGTAGTACATGCATCGCATGTGCAAACCACTATTTGTTATTGAATTTTAATGCTTTCCTCTTGATTGTTTCAACTAATGACTTAATTTAAATGGCCATAATTCAAAACAATTAGAAATTTTAAGATTGAGATGGTAGATTAGATTTATCTTATTTATTTTTAAAATTTTTCGGTTCTTTTTTTTATGAGAATAGGGCTATAATTCCCAGCTTGTATTCACAATGTGAAACATGTCATCAACTTAAGTCGAGTCGAGTAATAAATTGTCAATTTATATATTATAAATCATAGATTTCATATTCTATATCAATTTTTGTAACAAAATAAAAAATTTCAAATTAGAAGATAAATTTTTAGTATTCTTTACAAGGCAGATCATAGACTTCATAATTGCTGTCAAATAAATTCTTGTGTTTTTTTGAAAATGAAAACAAAAGAGAAAACACAATTAAACACTTATATATATACACCGTAATTGAAATTTCCCCAAATAATAAATTAGTTTTTTTTTTTTTTTAATGTCCCAAATTTTAAATTGGGCATTGTTAAAATGGTGTTAACTTGCACAGTGTCAACGCATGTAAAAATTAATGTTATTCAAAATTAATAAATTTTATAAATTTAACTGTTTTATTAATACTTACCACATTATTAAAATGAATTTTATTTTTATTTTGAAATTTTACTATTGCATGTCACGTTATTTAGTAAAAATATATATAAATTATTAATTTGTATGATATTTATCTCATATAAATCATAGAATACTCATATCTTGAGCTAAAATATTGACTTATGTGATCTGTAAAGATCCCAAAATGCATATAACAAATCATTGGTATTTAACTATGAGATGAGGTGTTTTAATTTAATTATATCTTTTGGAATTGAAGCATTATCTATTGAGTTACGGATTTAAAATTGAAATTACCGACCTATATGGGTTCAGAAATCAAAATTGAGTACTTGGATATGTTAATGGGAATTTTTGGAACTATTTGGGACAATTAATTGGAAATCTAATTTGTCTGATTCGTTAATGCACGTTTGGGTAGTTAACTTTATACTACAAATTGAAGGCATTAGAGGCTTCAGAAACCAGAACAGGGGACATATTTATGATCCTCATAATTTTTAGAGTTATCTGGGAAGTTTAATTGAAATTTGATTTCGCACGAATCGTAAGGCCACGTTTGGCTCTCTCTATTGTGTTATGTTGGTGTGTATGTGTATACTTATATTATGGGTGCCTTATGAGTGGATGGACTCATCTCTTAGAATAAAAAAAAAATATCTAGAGGAAAGGGGGAGCCACGTGAGAGAGGGAGAGATAGAGAACTCAAGGAGAAGAAGGAAGGAAGAGCTTGAGAATGAAGAGGAAAGATGGGGAAATTGATGGAATTACTTCAAGAGATTGGCTCTAGGTATGTGAAATCAACTTAACCCCTTAAGATTGATCTATTACAAGTTTAAATTCATGATCTCAAATGAAGAGAAACCACCTAATTGAGTTGGGGTTGATAGATATAAGTTTAGATGAACTCTTTTCATGAATTGAACCTTGATTCCTTAAGAGTTGGTTAATTGAAGAATTAAAGTCATTATATTTGTTTATTTTGAGGTTATGATGTTTGATGGAGAATAATAATGTGAAATTGGTCATGTATTAAAGGGTTTTGGGCTTTGATTTACATGTAATTAAGGTTTGATTTTGAAAATGAGAAGTCCCAAATTTTCTGCCATTTTCGGACAGCAATCTGCCCAGAGCCGCACGTGCGGCCCTGTTTCCCGCACGTGCGGGAGACAGCTTTGTCCAGCCATCTTTGAATGAGCATATCTTTTGCCTCGGGGCTCCGTTTTGAGTGATTCTTGAGCCTAAAATCAAGCCCCGGAAATATAGTTTCCAATGGTGGTGGTCTCACTCCAAAATTATAAATAAAAAAAAATAGTTATGCCCAAATTAGTGACGACTGTTCACTTTCTGTTTACCGGTTTGTACCGTTTCTTCGTCTGAACCTTTCTCCTATCGATTCCTCCAATCTTATGAGGCATGGATTATAACCTATGGAGGACTAATGAGTCTAGAACCACCATAGCTATTGAGTGAAGAATAAAAAGAGATTGGTTTTATTCTCATAATCTGTTATATGCATTGTATTTGTAAGTCAAGACGAGGACATCGTTCCATTGCTATCAGAGACCTACCGCTGTGAGTAGTAGTACTATAGTCGCACGTTCAAGTATTGTTAATGATTCTCATTGTTAACATTCTATCCCTTGCAAGTAATTAAGTTAACAATATGTTGATTGGAAAATCTAGAGGCATTATTGAGCAGTCCATTCTGTTTACTGTTGACAATGAATACTAACTTTCTGTTATTTGCAAGATAGCTATAGTGATTCAGGACGAACAAATAGAACGTATGAGGATTATGGAACTATGATATTCCGGTATCTCTAGAATCATTCAATCGGTAAAATGTGTTTACCTTTCGTTAATAATTATCAAGAACGTTCTGTTAAACTTAAGTTAACTGCATTAACTCATGTGAATGATGCAATGGTTACCATTAGCACTCTGTTAATTGCAGGTCAACCATGTTAACATATATGAACGATTAAACAAAGGGGTATGTTACTGATTAATAGCTCAAGTGAACCATGTCATTTCTTAATGAATAAAGAGAATTTGTGTTCATCTTCGAAGAATCAGAATAATTGGAAAGTTATGTGAATCCATATGAATTTGAAGTTATTTTGTTGTGTTACATATGAACTCAAAGTTATTCAGAATCTATGACATGAACGCAAAAGTTTAACATCATTATGTGACCCACATAAGAATGTGAATTATTCTATTTTGTTAAGCGCACGGTAATGACATGATATACCAAGAAATGCTCTATTTTATGATATATGACTCTATGAATTAATGAATGATTATCCATATATGTAAAAGTATTCATGGCATCCTTAGCACAAGGCCCTTACCCGGGGGTAATAATGCCGTGGTCTTATGGTCCTTGCCCGAGGGTAATAATACCGTGGTTCAAGTATGTTACAAGATATCTCTTGCCACCGACGGTCTTGTACGGGTGGGTTATGTTTTGCCATCGACGGTCTCGTACGAATGGTACCACCGACGGTCTTGTACGGGTGGATTATGTTTTACCATCGACGGTCTTGTACGGATGGTACCACCGACGGTCTTGTACGGTGGGTTATGATCAAGCATGAACTCTGATTTCTGTTTTTGATTCAAGCATAAGTAAGAATATGTATGAATATGTTTCTATTTATCCGTTCCGTTTATGCCATGTTATAACATGATATGAATTGATCGATTTTTAAGACCTAATGATTTCTGGTATGGAACAAAGTGCTGTACGGAACTAAGTGCTGCAATGCGAGTCACCTCTAGAATCCGTACGAGACACCTCTTGAGTCCATACATATGTTCAAGGGCTTAATCCCAACTTTTCAAGGGCTTCATGCCAAATGTTCAAGGGCTATATGCCAACATGTGTAAAAGCTTAATGTTAATATGTTCAAGGGCTATCGCCAATCCATTCAAAGGCTTAAAGCCATTATGTTTCAAGATTGGGCCTAAGGCCATTCTAAAATTAGTACAGAATTCTTAATTATATGATCTCCGCATTTACACATGCATTGATATGTATTATGATTAAGTTGAATATTGAATCATTTATATACTATTATTCACTGAGCTTCGCTCACTTTGTGTTATGTCTGTTCTGTAGGTAATTACTTTGGGAGTCCGTCTTAACCCTTGATGCTTACCCTTCAATTGTCAACCTCAGTATGCCCAGACTCCCAGACCAAGCCCATGCATTTATGTGAAGTTTTGTTAAGATTTTGGCTTGCACTTTAATTATTTACTTAAGGTTAAAATGTATGTATATACCCCCTTTCTTTACCAATGTTCGGATATACGCTCATTTATATGTATGGGTATGTATATAGATAAATGGCTCTCACGTATGTGATCCTGGCATGTTAGTTTTAGCTCAATGGATGTTATTCTATGTTACTTTGTAATATTAAATGCTTCCGTTCAGGCCCCGTATATTATGTATATCAGGTCATGTGTCCGTATCTGCATAGGTCATGCCCGAACTTTTAGGGGCGAGTTTGGGATGTGACATGATCAGCTAGTAAGGTGGTTGTGTTGGTTGATCCAAAGTTCGGTCAAGGCTCAATCCCCCCCAAAAATCAATAAAATCAAAAAAATTCGAAGTTGAACTTTCAAAAGTTGGAACATTTTTGACTATTCTAAGGTTTCCATATTCTTATTCATGGCCTTTTGATGAACTATGAATGTTGACAACAACTACACACCATTAATAATAATAATAATGATAAGAATAATTTTGTAACAACCTACTTATCATTGGGGCAAAAGAATCTATACTATATATTAAGTAAAATGGAGTTTTTAACCCCAAGTCTTGTGGGAGTTTCAATCTCCCAATCTAAATTTCTTGATTTTTTGATTTAAAAAAAAATCTTAGCATTTATTAACTTCTCTCAACTCTCAAGTCTTACCCTCATAATAACACTAAAAAAAAATTTTTGAAATCCAACACATATGAATTCCTTGAAAAGTTTCAACACATATGATTATTATCCTTCATAATAACACTTTAATGTATTAAGAACAAGTGTAAAAAAAATTCTTAAAAAGCCCAACACATATGATTATTATCAAAATATTAAACTTTAATATAATATAATAAAAAAAAGATATTTAATTCCTTAAAGAGTCTAACACATATGATTATTATCAAAATATTAAACTTTAATATAATATAAAAAAGGAAAAAAAGAATACATTTAAAAAAAATATTTAAAAATCACAATTCACATATATAGATAATTGTAAACACAATCCGTGCATAGCACGGGTGATATGCTAGTATATATAAAGGAGAAGAGCATTTGATGTTTTCCACCAAGAAAAATGCTTGGGAGCACTAATTAGTGCTCCCACTAATTAGGTGGCAGTGGATCCCGCCATTAATGATGTGATGTTTTGGTCTTGGAGTTGTATTTTTTTTTTTTTTTACTTTTTTAATGCATTAGTGCTATTAGTGGTGATGTTTTTAGTGGGATGAATCATTGTTGTTCCACCAATTAATTACCTTTTACATTTTCATCTACTTTTAAAATACTTTTTATCCTAATTTTAATGTAGAAATCAATTAGCATTTGCAATAATAATAATAATACTTAGTCACTATTTATTTACTTTGAGATTCATTAATTTTCAGTGAATTAGATGGGATGATTTAGGGTTGGCAATGGATGAGTGTGGGGTAGGTTTGGGGTGTTTCGTCTCCAGCACTTTCTTGATCGGGCTGAGGTTGAAAAAATTTGAGTAATTTACAATTTTAAGAGGGAATCAAATTAAATGAGACATATGGTATATGGTATATGAAAAATCCTATTTATGAGTTATAAGAGTTAAAAAGATTAAAAATGATAAACAAATATGTAAAAAATACAATGTATTGAACCAAATGCCTTCTTATGACCACCTAGACTACAATTCTAGTCCATAAAATTCGAACATGGCCATTGAAGTATTTTATATCAAATTAAACTTGTATTCGATTTTTAAATAGCCTTCAAAATGTAAAAATACGACAACACACTTTTATAAACTAAGGCTTCGTTTGGGAACCTTTCCTTTTAGCTAAAAAGTCAAAAAGTTACTAAATTAGCCAAAAGGCCAACAACCCATACCAAAAAGTCAAAAATTCTCTTTTCTCTCTACTTTTTGCACATCTTTTCATAAAAAGTCAAAAAGTCATCCCAAACATACTAATTTTTTTTAGTTCATATTTTAGCCAAATAGCCAAAAAGTTACTAAATTAACATGTTCCCAAACGAGGCCTAGGGTCTTTTTACCCATAAACCATAGTGTGATTCTATTTTCACATCATCATTCCTCTTAGTACACATCCACTACTTAGTTCACATTAATGATATCTTAAATTTTTGATTTTCCACTCAACACACACATCAAAATATTATTCTTTTAACCTAACCCAGATAACATAATGGCTCCGTTTGGTATAACTGTTAAAACAAATTATAGATTATAACTTAACAGATTATAAATTATGATTTTAATTAGAAACTGTTAATCTATTTGGTGTAACTGTTGGATTATAGATTTAAGTTGTTAAGTAGTGTTTGTTAAATAAGCTGTGAAGTTATTTTTTCAATTAACTTTTATTTTTTGTTATTTATTACTTATCTACATTTCTCATAAAAAAATAATAATAATATTCTATAGTTTATTTGGGTCTTTTTCTATTTTAAAAAAAATAAAAAATAAAAAAAATCTAAGAATATAACCGTAAATTAATATGTCCACAACAGAAGTTGATAATCAGAAGCAAGGGATGGACAACTTCTCAGAATCAGCTTTTTTGACTTAAAATAAGTTATTAGAATCAGAAACTATTTGAAATAAGTTTAACCAAACAGTCTAAAATAACTTTTCAAAAGTCAGAAGTCATAAGTTGACTCAGAAAAGCCCAAATAAACACCCTCAATATACACCCTAACACAAGATGATGTACACACTATTAAAGTTGAAAAGACAATAAAGTCAAAAATACAATTCACAGTAATTTTAGATTTGTGAGTCTCTCACTCTCTCTCTCCCCCCGTTATTTGTGTTGAATCTATGAAAGCATGAGAGCAAACGGCGTGCTGAAATTTTACAATGACAAAGTAATCAGTGTGATATTTTGCAAAAAATTAATCAAAAAATAGTTTTAGTATTGTTCATAAATACAATTTTAAAAAAGCTTAATATGTTCACAAATTATATTTGACCTAAACTAAAATGTTCAATTTTTTATGTATCAACCCTAAATCCTCTAAAACAATAATATTTTTAGTTTGAAAAATGATAGAAAATAGATTTGTTCTAAGTGATGGAGTGTATACAGATATTTGTGTTTTTATATGTGAATTGTTGAAATGAGTATATACATATACTCATATTGTCCTCAATAGTTATTTTATTTAAGGATTTTATTATCATGTAAATTTAATGATTAAATTATGTGTATTGAAAAAATCGATAGTGTGTAGACAGAATTATCCTAAACCATAATGTATTAATGCTAGCTTCCCATAATTGTCAATTAGGACCCATTCTACACAATGGCCAAGTTTCGAAATAGAAAATCAAAATTAATGTGAGAGCAACAAAAGCAAAAGAAAAAAGGGTCATTTTCGGCCTTTCCATATCCATGGCAAAGGGTGGTCTTCATTATTTCATAGTTTGCTCAACCAAAGCAACAAAAAACAGTCAAAGGCTTTATTATCACTAATAAAAATAAGGACAAATTACCCTAACTGTTGTTATAATTTAGGACATATATTACTTTCGTCCTTAATTTTTTAATTGTGACATATTTGACCTTAAATTTTAAATTATATTTTAAATAAGGACAATTGAATATATCATTACTCAATTTCAAGGGCATAGTCATCAATTTGATAAAATATAAACTAATTTGACAAAAATAAATGTCAAAATTATATTTTTAAATTTTTAAAAATTATTTCTACCCACCAAAGATAAAATTATGTAAAATTGATAAATTTTTTACACATTTATTTATTTAATTTTTTTTACCAATTTAATTTTTATTATGTGTTTGGATGATGATCATGTAATGGATTGTTGTTTTTATTTTCATTAAATTAATTTCTATTTTTTCAAAATTCAAATATGGCGACAACTTTCATATAATTATTAAATCAATCCATTAAATTAAAAAATCCAAAACTAAAAACATTTCATATATCAGATATATTGACTATACATAAAAAGTATAACAACCACACATTACATGATTATCATCCAAACACATAATAAAAATTAATTTGGTAAAAAAATAAATAAATGCGTAAAAGATTTATCAATTTTACATAATTTTATCTTTGGTAGATAGAAATAATTTTTAAAAATTTAAAAATATTTTTTTGACATTTATTTTTGTCAAATTAATTTATATTTTATCAAATTGACGACTTTATCCTTGAAATTGAGAAATAATATCTTCAATTGTTTTTATTTAGAACAACATTCAAAATTCAAGGTTAAATGTGTCACAATTGAAAAGTCATAGACCAAAATGACACGAGCTCCAAACTATCAGGACTGTTAGTGTAATTTGTCCTAAAAATAAAAAAATATAAATTCTAAATATACCACTTAAGATTTGTAAAAAATATAGATTTTTCTTTACATTTTAAAAATTATAAATATCCCCTTATCAAAAAAATTATCTACAATTGACCTAACATAAAAAAATAAAAGAAAATTTCAAATATCATCCAATATCAAAATAAAACTATCATATTTTCTTTATTTTTAGAATAAATTACAAATACACTTCTAAAATTTAATTAAAATACGAATTGCCCTCTTGTGGTTTGAAAAATTACAAATACCTCATTGTCAGAATTTTTTATTTAACAGAATTAATTGAAAAAGTAAAATTTCTAACTGTTCACCTATACAATAATAAAATCATCTGAATTATTAATTGAAATAAAATTTTAACATTATTAAAAACTGTTAATTAATTTGATGATTTATTAATAAAATGACCTATTTGTTATAAAATCAGAAACCTTAAAAAGTATAATATAATTTTTAAAATTATAAGGAGTAATTTATAATTTAGAAAAATCTCAAAATATGTGTTTATGATTTATCTTTATTTTTACCTATCCACTATCAAATCCCTCTAACACTATCACAATATTGCCCAATCCTTTTTAGCAACCCATCAAATGTTTGTAAACAATATTCTCAGTGGTGTTGAATGAGAAGAGAGTACTGCTATGGGGTGTTTTGGGAACATTTTTTTAAAAAGTTAGTATTCTGGCTTTATAATTTTTTTAGCTTAAAAAGTTATAAAAAAAATACAAAAAAACTAATGTTTTTGGCGCAAAAAAAAGTCAAAAAAAATTACAAAAATCAAAAAAATTAATTTTTTATGAACTTTTCAAAACACCACTATGCTTAGGAAAAGTGATGTAGTTGAGAAAAAACGAAGAATATAAAAAGTGAGTTATGAAAAAGAAAAATGCCTAACACCCCAGTGGGGGTCATTGGGGGTCTTCTCCCATTGGTCAAAAACTGCTTTCCTTTTCTTTTTCTTTTTTTTCCAGCGAATGAGGGGATGACACCTCACTGGGGGTTGTCAGTGGGGGTCTGTAGCATGGCCCTATGAAAAATAAATGAACTATTTTCCTGCATAAATGTTAGTACATGTACTTGAAAAAAAAAGGAAAAAAAAGCGTTTAGTACTCACAGTAGACGGTAGATTAAGGGGTTATTTAAGATGATCTAAATAAGTATATTTTTTGTCTTTTTATGAAAAAATGTGTAGAAAAGTAAAAAAATAATGTAATAAAAAAAAGATAAAAAGATGAATTATTTTTGAAGTGTCAAACTTGGCCTAACAAACGTGCTATTTATTGGGCTCGTTTGCTAAGTACGATGTTTTTTTAGTTTTTTTAGAGCATTCATAATGGGCATACTAACCTGTGTGTTAGTCTCAGGTGCTAAGTTAACTGAGGATATTGTTTGGGGCTGCAATGGAGTTGTTAGCGTGTGTGTTAATTTGTTTGTTATCTGCAGCTAGCGTTTTAGCTAACAGAGAAGTGCGTTTGTTTGTCTTACTGGTTGATCGGCCGGATGTCCGGTCGGTTGACCAGTCAACGGCAATTTTTTTTATTATTATTAGTTGTTGGGATTTTTTTTTTTAACTTGAAATTTAATTTTGGCTTTGAAATTTTTGATTAAACTAAATTATTTATTTATTTTATTTATTATATACACACACATATATATATTTAACACACACCTTAACACAACCCTTAGCACATCCATTGCACCACCACTCACTCTCTAAAATTAACAAACTCTTAACACATCTTAACAAACATTTTTGGGCTCTATTTTTATTACTTTTTGTCATATAACACACACCTTAATACACTTTTTTAGCCATCTCATTGTGGATGCCCTTAGCGTTTTTCGTTATTTTAGTTTAAGGTTAAGGCCTCGTTTGGGAACATGTTAATTTAGTAACTTTTTGGTTATTTGGCTAAAATATGAGCTAAAAAAAATTAGTATATTTGGAATGACTTTTTGAATTTTTACAAAAAGATATGCAAAAAGTAGAGAGAAAAGAGAATCTTTGACTTTTTGGTATGGATTGTTGATTTTTTGGCTAATTTAGTAACTTTTTGACTAAAAATTAAAATTCCCAAACGAGGCCTAAGTTTTTAATTTTTTTAATATTTTTTAGAGAATAAATATAATAATTATTGATTATATATGATATTTTGTCTTATTAAATTAAAAAAAATATTTTATTTTTTGTATAGTCAAAAAAAAAAAATCTCCAAAGTTGGCTTCCTAAACAAAGCCAATGTGATTAAAATTTTTGTAGATAGGATATGATTTATCAAATGAGAAATATATTTTAAATAAATCTCAGGTTGTAATTAAAAAAAATCAAAATTTAAACAATCAACAAAGACCACTCTCTCTCTCTCTCTCTATCTGTCTTCAGTATTTGGGGAAGATTAGGTCTCCAAAGGCAGGCTGACCCAGACTCCACACACAGCTTCATCTATACTCCGAAGACCTCTCTCTCTCTCTCTCTCTCTCTCTCTCTCTACCCAGTTGTTTAACACACAAGATACGTACATATTTATATATATATATATATACTTGTGTTTGTGTATGCATACATATAACTTTTCATTATTGGGTTTCTGATTATGGAGATGATGGATTATTATCAACTTGCTGCAAGGTGTTCTTACAAAGATTCCCTCAAGGTCCTTGAGGCTGATATACACCATGCCAATATGCTGTGAGCTCTCTCTCTCTCTCTCTCTATATATATATATATATATATGGTTTTTTTGATCAATTTGTTGTTTGATTCTATTATCTAAGTGAAATTCTGTGAAAATTCAAGAATATGTCATATGGGTTTCTTGAGAATTTTGGTTTATTGGTCAAATGTAATTAGTTTCCTCTTTTCAACTTTACTAAATTTGAGCAAAGGTACATTTTGTATCATCTTTATCAAATACTTTGTAGTTATCAACAAAGCTTTGTAATTTTCACTTTACTAGTTTCTGAACGTAAAACCCTGTGTTCTCTCTCTCTAAATGGTTTTCTTTTTTCTTTTTTTCTTTTTGATCAATTTGTTGTTTGTTCCTATTATCTAAGTGAAATTCTGTGAAAATTCATCATATGGGTTTCTTGAGAATTTAGGTTTATTGGTCAAATGTAATTAGTTTCCTCTTTTCAACTTTACTAAATTTCAGCAAAGGTACTTTTTGTATCATCTTTATTAAATACTTTGTAATTGTCAACAAAGCTTTGTAATTTTCACTTTACTAATTTCTGAACTTAAAACCCTAACTCTCTCTCTCTCTCTCTCTCTCTCTCTCTAAATGGTTACTTTGATCAATTTGTTGTATGAAATTCATCATATGGGTTTCTTGAGAATTTAGGTTCATTGGTCAAATGTAATTAGTTTCCTCTTTTCAACTTTACTAAATTTCAGCAAAGGTACTTTTTGTATCATCTTTATTAAATACTTTGTAGTTGTCAACAAAGCTTTGTAATTTTCACTTTACTAATTTCTGAACTTAAAACCCTGAGTTCTCTCTCTCTCTCTCTAAATAACTTTGATCAATTTGTTGTTTGATCCTATTATCTAAGTGAAATTCTGTGAAAATTCACCATATGGGTTTCTTGAGAATTTAGGTTTATTTGTCAAATGTAATTAGTTTCTTCTTTTCAACTTTACTAAATTTCAACAAAGTTACATTTTATATCCTCTTTATCAAATACTTTGTAATTGTCAACAAAGTTTTGTAATCTTCACTTTACTAATTTCTGAACTCGAAACCCCTTTTCTGCTTCCCTGTCTAGGATGAGCTTTTGAGGGCTTTATGTGATTATTTTTCTATGGTAAGTTAGGTATTGTTTGAGTTAATTAAAAGATATTGAGAACTGTGTGTGATTATCTTTGATGGCTTCTAATTTGAGTTATCAATTCACCTGGAATTAAAATTGTTTTTGTTCAGTTGGTTATGATTTCAAAAACAAAAACAATGAAAAGTTCAAATTCAACTGCATTCATATGTGTGAGAAACAAATTTTGAAAATCCTAAAATACCTTTTTGGGATTTCCTAAAAAAAGTGGGTTGTTTCCAGAAAATTTTCCTCAAAACAATTTTCTTTTGCCAACTAAGTTTTATGTGTTTTCAGAAACTGGAAACATAAAACAGAAGATGGAAACACAACCAAACAAGGGGTTAAATTCACTGTATACTGTGGCTGTTCAAAATTCAACTGAATACATGTTGAGTCTCCTGTGAATTTGCAGTTCAAATAGCTAAGACCTGAGGGCACTGTCAGTCCATAAGCATTTGGCTTTCAGTGAGCATGCTATCCAATTTAGAAAATGGTGTTTTTTTCCCCCCTTTTCTTACTTTTTGTATGTCAGATTTGTTATTATTTTCTTGTATTTGGACTTTTGGGCTTTGATCAATTTTTGAGTTTATAGTGCATGGTTGATTGTATGCCGATGTTGGATTCTTGTGGTTGACTAACTAAAGTGATTTATCTCACAATTGCTTGAATATGAACAATGTTTACAGGGCAGCTTCTATTCCTAGGACCAAGGGCAGTGCGTGTCTGCAAATGAAATTGGTCGACAATCAGTTTGCGTCTGTTATTTGGATTTTGCTCCAATGGATGGATTGCTCATGTACATGTTTGCTTTCGAGTTATCTAAATCTCTTTCACATAGTTGTATATAAGGTAGGTTACATGTTAACTTATCCGTGCATTTCCCAATGAAAAATTTTGTTTTAATCTTTGTTCTTTTTCGGACATGAGGTTCTCATTTGTTTTTTGAGTTGAAGATCGAAGGGATGGTTCAGTGGTTAATTTTCTTTATTCTTCAGATGTCGCCAGATGGGAAACCAATTATCACTTCACATGGAAGGAGAGCAACTATTAAAGAATTCTATGGTATTCAAATGATCTTTCTATAATTTTCTGGATAATGCCAAATGTTCTGGGGCAATAGAGCACTGTGTATTAGCTAATAAGAAGCACAGACACACAACAAGCTGATGCGGCAGTTATCAAAAAACGTATGCAAGACACGACACATGGAGGATATGCATAAAATATATAGTTTTATATATTTAGTAGATGTTATATATGTGAATATTTCATTCAAAGATATAATAAAATAATACAACACAACACTAATTTCTAAATTTTAAGGAGTGATTATATGTATGAATCTAAATTGTTTGTCCTTTTATCTTTGAATCCGAAGCTATTTTTTTCAAGGTGTGTTTAACCGATAGACATGTGTGTCCCTCAAATGTCTGAAACGTGAGTCTTTTTCTTTTCTTTTTTGTTTTTTAAATAATAGGACACATCTAAATGTGTGTCCTATATGGAGACACCATGCCACCTACTTAGAAGAGTTTGTGCACTATGCAATCATGCAACAATTGAAGTTATTTTGTTTGTTTCAAAGAGCATGTTTGGTTTAGTTTATTAAATTTATGAATCATGCCATTTAGGATTTTAAAATCTGAAGACTGATTTGCACTTTCTAATGCTGTTGATGACTGGATAAAATGGTATATTGGTTTGGTTTCCAGAATTATTTTTCTTACTCTTTGAAGTTACGCTTGTTGTGCGTAAACTAATGTTAGTAATATTGCAGCTGTGATATTACCGTCTCTCCAGCGCCTCCATGGTAACACCTCAGAGCTAGAAATGAATCAAGTCCTAGATCATGATTTTGAAATGATCATTGAAAAGAGATTAGAGGAAAAGAGGAAGCATTCGGACATTGATTTGGAGAGAGAAGATGAATGTGGAATCTGCTTGGAGCCCTGCACTAAAATGGTTTTACCAAACTGCTGTCATGCAATGTGCATCAATTGCTACCATGACTGGTAAATATGAATATGAATACCTTTCTTGCTAATTTCATTGTTTGCAATATGGTTCACTGTTAATATGTGATATTGATGCTGCTGTGATTTTAGCAACTAAATATTTTTATTTTTCGCTAGGATTATTATCTAAAGTTTAGAATTTTTAGTTGGGTTAATTGTACAAATTGTTGCCTAGCATTGTTATGTTACACTTAGTCACTAGCAGCATCAGTACCGTTGAAATCAGTAATAGGAGGGGCATTTTCAGAATTTTACTACCCAAAAAATAAATAAATAACAACAAAACAAATTAAAAGATTGGGGATGAAATGCAAGAAAGTACATACTATGAAGACTAAAATGAAACAAAATGCATATATTAGGAACCAAGATGTTACAAAATATGCATATATTAGGAACCAAGATGTTACAAAATGCGTACTTTGAGACTCTGCGTCTTTGTTCATTTTGATTTTGTTGAGACCATGTAAAATTCCAAAAATGCCCATCCTTTCATTATTGATTTTAAACGGTGCTGACGTCATGGATTAAAGTTGTAACAAAACATACACATGGGAGACCATTAGTCTAATTAACCCTTTTTAGTTTTATTATTTTATGAAGTTTCTGATTTTGTTGATGAGCTACAAGAACTATAATTAGTTTCCTAGTATTTTGTTTTCTTTTTAGTACTCCTAAGTTGTTAGGACTGTTAAATACGGTTGTAAGCCTTATAGCTAAGGGTGGTGTTTTGACGTCAGGGAAGAGGAAGAGAATTCACTATTTGTGTTTGTTCATGATTGTTATTGTTGCAACTGTTTTTTGGTTTCTACATGCTTATTGAAGAAAATTTTCTTATTTTAGCCAGTTCCTTCCCTCCTCTCTTACAGGAACATGAGGTCAGAGTCGTGCCCATTTTGCCGGGGTAGCCTGAAGAGAGTGGATTCAGGAGACCTGTGGGTTCTCACGTGCAATGGTGATGTGGTTGATGCTGAAACCGTGACAAAGGAAGACATGTTGCGCTTCTATCTTTATATAAACAGCTTGCCTAAAGAGATTCCCGACGCTCTCTTCTTAGTATATTATGAATACTTGATCTGATCTGATCTGATCAGCCATTGATGAAAAGAATGATGTACAGGAAGAGAAAAATGCTGACCATCACATGTAGATAGAGTCTGGCAAAGTTCTTTTCGTAAAATATATATATATATATATGTATATGTTTAAATTTGTGTAGTTTGTTTCCCTTTGATCTTTGTGCAGAATAATGTAATTGTATAGTATTTGTGTTGAATCAATAATTAACAGAGAAAAATCTCATTATTTTTCTACTTTTCTGTGGGGATTTTCTTGTTCATGGCATGTTTTGTCATCTGTTGGAATTGCAAAAAAGTGTTGAGAATTATAGGAGACTTTATAGTGCTTTTGCCTAATTATGGGCGCTGTGTTGGCTATCCCTAACATTGGATCAGGCTGACTTGTTTTGTCATTCTGCTCTTGAAAATTGAAAAAACAAAGGCTAACAAAAAAAATTGTTTGATAAACTGTTTCTGCAATTTATTTTTATTTTTTTTGGAAAATTATCTAAAAACATCTTGCTTTTTAGAAAACACTTTTTAAGTTATTTTATGAAATTTTTGGGAAAAATGAAAGCGATGTGGAAATGATGTGTACTTTCAAATCTCATTTCAAAGAACATGAAAATTGAAAGAAATAAAAACATAAAAACATAAATTAAAATTATACTAAACAGTTTTCTTTCCATCTTTTTAATATTTATTCAAGGGAAGTTGCGTTACAGCACTAAAACTCAAATTTAGATGTCACATTCAATAAAGGAGCACATCATCCACTAAATCATTGCTTGGCTTGGTCAAATTGGAGATGGAGGGTACAAGATTATGCTCTTTTAAATTTAGCTATTTGTATTTTTTTAGATCGATCTCGACTAAACGATCTTAAAAAATTTTAAATTTTGATCTTGTCCATAAAAGAAAAAAATAAGAAAATTTTTATAAGGTTTTTCTGATAATATTTGACTTATTATCATCTATCATGAACTTTTTTCAAAATAAATTTAAAAAATTTAGAATTGCCATAAAAAGTAGAAGGGAAAAAAATTTGAAAGTTTTAGCCAAACGAAGTTTGTTGATAAGTACACTTATTTGATAAAGTGCATTTTTTTTTGTTTTTTTGTTTTTTTGGTAACACCACCTCTCTATTTTTTTTTATATATCTTTTCATAAAAGATCAAAAAATGTACTAAATAAACAACCTCCCAACAACACGTTAATATTAATGCACTTTTATCAAAATATCACTTTAGCTCATTCACTTTTAATTTTAAAAGTCAATCCCTTGCCTTTTAAGCCAAATTGCAATCATACCTTCCATTCATTAACTGTTAATAAAGTTGACAAAATTTGTCATTAGACCACCTCCCACACTTCACCAAACCTGACATCAAATTTAAATTTTGGTGAAAAAGTTACTATTTGGTGTTCCAACAATTTCGCCAAATCGATATCAAATTGAGAATTCACCAAACAATTCATCAAAGTGAGGACAAAATACTGATTTCAGCAAATCACTGTTTGTTACCGTTGGGGGAGACCAACCGGTCAACCAGCAGGTTGATCGGCCGGTTGACCAATCGGTCGACCACTAAAAGGTTCAAACAATTAAAAATAAATAAATAAATAATTTCCTTACCGGTCGACCAGTCGGTCAACTACTAAAAGGTTCAAACAATTCAAAAAAAACAAATAAATAAATTTTGCCCTTACCGGTCGACCGGCCGGCCGACCAATCGGTTGTCCTGACGCAGATTTGATGAAATTTCACCGTTGAAGCAGCTGATATCAAATTGGGAAAATGAGCCATTTTTTACTCAAATTTGATGAAAAATTTGAATAACCGTTAGAAATACTCTAAAACATATGTAACATTTTTGTTGTCTCATGAGCACCCTTATACTATTACTAAAATCTCACATTAGTTATCACACTTTGATTAAAATCTCACTTTAGTTTCTATACTTTCAATTTCTGTTAACAATAGATGGATAGAAGGGTGAAATTGAAACTTGGTTTAAAACATAAGGAGTTAAACTATTAAAAATGAAGAGATTAAAGTGAGATTTTAGGGAAAGTGAAAGGGTACAAGTGTAATTTACCCATGATTCTTTGAGTAGAGAGAAATTAGCTGATTACTAGAACAAGGAGGATAATAGACATATATCTTTCTTCCTTTTCCTGGGCAAGTATAGTTTTCTTCCTGCTTCAGTTGTGGCCATTCACAAATAAGCGTCTCCACATAAACAAACATTCCAAATATTTTAAAAAATTCCAAACCAAATGAGGGGAAAAAAAAATGGCATCAATTTAGCACAACCAACTCTTTCTTTCCTACAAACGAAATATTTATGACAGTAATTACTGAATATTATTGCTATTTGATTGAGACCGAGACTCTAAAAAGAGTCTTACAGTTGAAAAGATGAGAGAGGGTTCAGCCATCGCGCCATTTCCATAATCTCCGCAAGCTAGCCTCTTCGTTACTGGAGGAATGAGAGAAATCCCCAACTCATCTATTAACATAAGGTGTCGTTCTGTGAATGGATTGTTCCACATGAAGGTGTTCATGGCTGGAGCAACAAAGAGCGGGTTTACTGTAGTCCCATGCTCGCACGATGCAAGTCAGCAAGTTGTCACACAATCCTCCAGCAATCTACAAGGGGACAAGAAGGAAAAATGAAACTTAGGATTACATAAAATCATAATTACACAATACACAACTTGGAAGAAGGAAACTTGTGACACACAACTGAAGTGATCAACAATATGAGCTCTCATCACATACATAGCATGCATTTTTCTACTCTCATCTAACCATTCTGCTAAATCTAGACTCAGATATCAATTACGGGGCTGTTTGGTGCAGCTTATATTGTGCCAGACTATTTGGTATAACTTATGCTCACTAGTTGTTATGCAAAAATAGCTTAAATAATCACAAAAAACTGATTATCTGAAAGTTGGGAGAATGGGGCTTTTGACTTCTGCTTTTTTCTTCTTAGCTTTCAGCTTACAAGAAAAGTCACCAAACAAGGCCTAAGTCACACACATGCGTGCGCACGCACACACATAAATTTTATGATACACTCTTTGAGAAAGAAATGAAGATTTTAATTATTACTTCAATGAATGAAACCCTTACACCATCTCTGTTCATATACATCAGTAAGACTTAATAGCTAACTATTATCTATTCTATATCTAACATGCTCTAACAGACTCAACTAATATAACAAGACACGGTCACACTAACTGAATGAAGCTTTGATTTGCTATAGCTCATCCTTAGAAGCTCTGCTACACCTCCTGATCAGGTGCACTTGATGATGACTTCATAATCCTATCAGGCCCCCTCAAGCGAAGAGGAGGGACAAACCATGAGCTTGGCCTATAGATAAGAAAAAAGATCTGTGGACACGGGTTTAGTAAGGATGTCTGCAATTTGATCTGCTGAAGACACATGCTTAACAAACACTTTCTTAGCAACAACTTGCTCACGAATGTAATGATAATCCACAGCAATATGTTTGGACCTAGCACGAAAAACTGGGTTAGAAGCAAGGGAGATGGCAGAAAGGTCGTCACACCATAGAGTAGGAGTAGAGGGAGGAAGATGTAATTCATGGAGAAGCATTTGAAGCCATGCCAATTCTACTGCAGCTTGAGCAAGAGCTCCTTACTCTGCTTCAGAGGATGAATGAGAGACTGCGCATTGCTTCTTTGCAGTCCAAGAGACAAGATTAGAACCAAGAAAAACACAATAACCAGAGGTAGATTTTCGATCTATGACACTCCCAGCCCAATCTGAATCTGAGTAAGCATGAAGATCCAAAGCACCAGAAGAGAATTGCAAACCAAAATGCAAAGTGCCTTGAAGATATCTCAAAATTCTCTTGACAACATTGAAATGAGCCACAGTAGGTGCATGCATAAATTGACAAGCATGATTCACAGCAAAGGAGAGATCAGGCCTAGTAATGGTGAGATATTGTAAAGCTCCAACTATACTTAGGTAAAGAGAGGGTTGAGAGAAAGGGACTAGAGTGTCACTAGGAGGAGAAGATTTAGTGGCCATTGGAGAAGCATAAGATTTGCAGTTGGTCATGCCAGCCTTGGCAAGAATCTCAGAAGCATACTTACGTTGAGATAAAAATAACCCATCAGTGGTGGAGTGCACAGAGATGCCAACGAAGTAAGAAATATTGCCCAATTCATTAATAGAAAAGGCTGAATGCATATGCTTGATTAATGAGGCAATTTGCTTAGAATCACAACCAGCAATAAGAATGTCATCCACATAGACCAATGACAACATGACAGACTGAGGAGTATGATGAACGAAGAGAGAGGAATCACATTTGCTATTGACAAAACTAAAAGAAGGAAAGAAGAAAAGGTGGAATACCAAGCTCTTGGAGCTTTTTTAAGTCCATACAAGGCCTTACCCACCTTGCACACATGAGAAGGAAAAACTGAGTCTTCAAATCCTGGAAGTTGAACCATATAAACTTCTTCTTCAAGCACACTATGCAAAAATGCATTAGAGATATCCAACTGCTTTATTTGCCAATTAAAATGGAGAGCAAGACTGAGAAATACTCGAATGGCAGGTTGCCTGGCCACAGGACTGAATGTTTCATGATAATCAAGTCCTTCCTCTTGCAAATAGGCCTTGGCAACAAGTCTGGTTTTATGTCTAGCAACTGTGCCATCAGAATTTTCTTAAGGCGAAAGACCCATTTGCATCCAATAGCTTGCTTATGCGAGGGAAGAGGAACCAACAAGTCTTCTGCCTTTGCAAAGCTTGAAATTCTTCATTCATAGCTTGCGTCCAAGCTGGAGTTTTGAGTGCCTCAGTAAAAGAATGAGGTTCTACAAGAGACAGATCAGTAGAAGAAGAAGTAGAAGCAAGAAGAGAGAAATGAGATGCCTTAGATCAAGTAACCACGGGGTGTTTGTTAATAGGAGGAGCAGGAAGAGAACAGGGGCTGAGATCAACAATGAGAGATCCAATAGGAATAGAATAAGTAGAGGTTGCAACTGGAGCAGAAGGCACTGCAGCTGAGGCTATGACTGGGGCTGCAGCTGGAGCTGCTATAGCTGGGGCTGGATCTGAGACAACTGGTGAGGCTGCAGCTGGAGCTATGTCTGATGCTGCAGCAGTACACAAGAAAGGGACTGCGCGAGAAGCTGCAGCAGTAGCATTGGGAACTGCACATGAGCCTGCAAGTGGAAGTAATGATGGGACAACAGAGGCAACCACAGAACCAGAACCAGAACCAGAACCAGAACCGGAACCAGAAGCAGGCACAGAATCAGAAAAAGAGGCAGTCATTGGAAAAGAAGACAGAGGAACTGTATTGATAGTAGCAGACTGAGCTGGAACATGAGTATGCTTAGAAGAAACGTGAGAAGACTGACTAGACCAAAAGAAAGAGTAAAGCAGAGAAAAAGTAGGAACAGGACTAGAAGAAAGAGAAGACTGAACATGAGCAACTAAAGGGAACAAAGTTTCATCAAAGACAACATGTTTTGACAAATAGATTTTACCTGTAATAGGATCAAGGGCATCTATAGCCTGTAATGGAAGGATCATAGCCAATGAAAATGCAAGGCAATAAACTGGGATGCAGTTTGTGAGAGTTGAGAAAACCAAAATCTGGGGCTTGATGAAACAAGACTTCAAAAGGAGTTTTATTAAGCAATTTCAAACTAGGCATTCGAAGCATCAAACCAATAGGACAATGGAAGAGCTGAGATGTCTGTGCTTTCTCTCTGCAACTCCATTATGAGGAAGGGTACGAGGACAAGAGAGCTGATGCATAATACCATGGGTTTTAAGAAACAACTCAAACTGAGTGCTAGTGAACTCATCACCACCATCAGTTCTGAAAATTTTAAGACTAGTCTCAAATTGGTTCTCAACAAATGCTTTAAATTCTTGAAATTTAGGTCTCGTTTGGCAACCTTTAGTTTTAGTCAAAAAGTCATTATAAGTTGTTACATCACTCTCTCTACTTTTTTGCACATCTTTTCGTATAAAGCCAAAAAGTTACTAAAATAGCCTGCTCCTAAACAAGGAAAACTTCACTTTTGTAACACAGAGGATAAATCCAAGTGAATTTACTAAATTCATCTATAAAGAGAACATAGTATTTAACACTAGAAGTTGAAGAAGAGAAAGGTCCCCCAACATCACTACGGATGAGGGACAATGGTTTATTTACAGTAGAATTAGACAAATTGAAAGGCAATTTATGACTCTTGGCCAAAGCACAATGAGTACACAAATGAGTTTTACTACAAGAAGAAGAAGAAGATGAAACAGGCAAATTCAATTTTTTCATCAGAACGAGCATCTTCTGAGATGAAGGATGACCAAGCTTGTTATGCCATGTAGTAGAAACAAAACTAGTAGCAAGAAAAGCATTGGAAGCAGATGGTAAATGTGTTGAAGATTGTGGCAAGCAAGAAGGCAACTGATAGAGACCATGACTATGAACACCTTTATAGAGAGGTGTCTTGGTGGTCTTGTCCTGAGAAAGACATGAAGATTTCAATTATTACTTCAATGAATGAAACCCTTACACCATCTCTATTTATATACATCGGTAAGACTTAATAACTAACTATATCCATTCTATATCTAACATGCTCTAACAGACTCAACTAATATAACAAGACACGGTTACACTAACTGAATGAAGCTTTGATTTGCTATAGCTCATCCTTACAAGCTCTGCTACATACACCTCTTGATTAGGTGCACTTGATGATGACTTCATAATCCTATCATCCTAACCATCCTTCGAATGTAGATTTACTTTTGCTCAAAAACGCAGGGAACCCATATGAAATGTCAACATGAATGGTTGCAGTATGAGGTATCAGCACTGGAGTGACTGCAAATACGCAACATAATTGTATTTACAAACATGTAGGCTGATGAAATTGATAAATTAAGCAAGCAACTTAGGCCAAGTTTGGCAAGTTGCCATAAATTCAAAAAGCCAAAAAGTTATGTAAAAGTTAAAAAATTATCACTATTTACCAAAAGTCAAAAATTACGGCTGCACAACTTCCAATCCTAATTTTCCCCTACACACTAATTTATACAATTTTTTAATACACATTTTTTTCATAAAAAGTCAAAAAGTTAACCCAAACATCCATATTTTTTTCCTCAATTTTTTAGTCCAAAAAGACAAAAAGTGCACTTATTTAGGACACCCCAAACAACCCCTTAATCCCAGAACATTGCAATTTTGCAAATAGCAGGCCGTATTTGGGTTGTTGATTGCTGATAGATCATACATTGGCCAAAAATGTCTTAAAACAACCAGTTTAACTATATCACACAGAATTTTCTTTCATAAATAGTGACCAATGACAGATACACATTACAACTAGACATTTGTGCGGTACAAGCCAACGTCTGAAAAACTGGTAGAATTGACTTGGCAAGTTTTCTCAGTTGACGAGGAAGTCTAGGGTTAAGAGTATTGCATATTAACTTCTAATCTATTTTTACTTTTCTCCACCATCTCTGAAAGGGCCAAATGGGATCGGGGATATGAAATTTGTAACAAAGAATTGAACAAGTAACTTCTGACAAAACAACGAGCCAAACCACGAAAATGTATGAGAAGATAAAAGTCGATATGAAAAACACAAAGAAATGATTCATTATCTCTCCATAGCATTCTGCAATATTTTATGAGCTTGCAAATTTGTACTATTACCTTGCCAAGTGTGTTTGCGGACAATGGGGCAATAACCATGATATCAGCCCACCTGCGGAGTTCAATGTGAAGCACGCTATCACCTATCTTTGTCCAAGTAGACCATTCATCCTCATCGGTGTATAGAATTACGTCCTTAGGAAGTGATGCTCTGTCAATGAAATGCAAAGAAGCCCTCGTGGCAACTGCCCTTACTTCCGCCCATTCAGAAAAACAATGGCAAAGATTCGCAAACTTTATAGCAGCAACACTTCCACTGGCAGCAAGTAGAATATGCGGTTTTCTGGGAGCAGTGTTAGCTTGTACTAGCTCCCTCTCTGCACTTACAGGCTCAGAGTATGCCATGACCTGTTAAAAGACAACACTAATCTCATTTACAAAAAATAAAAAAATAAAAAATAAAAAATACAAATATCAATATCAATATCCTACGCAAGGTTCATGTTAGCAACTTTATGATATACACTGACAAGAGTTCAAGCCACAATTAGTGATCTCTTGAACAACAACTAGAATTCACAACATTTCAGCCAAAAATATTTGAAATAAACATTACAAAGTCAAAAACTAGTGACAGCTGCAAAATCTTTATTCCAGCAAAAAAATCAACGACACCATAAATCCATCAATTCCTTTTCCTTGAAGCTTACTTTTGTGAACATGTTGTATCTATACTATCCACACCAGGGTTGGCAACAAAATTGACTCTTGAGTTTCTTGAAAACTTGCAACAAAAACTAATCTTAATTAACTGTCACCACCCAACAAGTAGGAAAGTGGACAAGAATGCAGAGCGCTTTTGAAATGTAACATTAGCTTTCCATGTTAAACACCGTAAGGTTCAAATAGACAAATTTGCTCCAGTCCAGATTTAATCAATCTCAGAAATTCAATACAAACTTAGGCCTCATTTGGGAATAGGCTATTTTAGTAACTTTTTTATTTTTTGGCTAAAATATGAGGTAAAAACAATTAGTATGTTTGGAATGACTTTTTAATTTTTTACAAAAATATGTGCAAAAAGTAGAGAAAAAAGAAAGGGCTTGTTTGGTTTGTTTTTGGGAGAGTTGTTTTTGAAAAAAAATTTGGGGAGAGAGTTTAGAAATTTTTTTGGTTTGTTTGGTTGTATATTTTGGGAGACTTGTTTTTTTGGGAGTTTGAAATGATTTGATATTTTGGGAGAATTTGAGTAGATGTGTGTGAGAGAAAAAGTGATTGAGAAGGAGAGAAGAGAGAAAAAAAATGATTGATTGATGTGTAAGAGAGAGAAAGTGATTTTGGAAATTTTTTGAGAAAAGCTCAAACCAAACAATTTTTTAGAAATTTTTTTCTAAAACTCATCTCCCAAATGCAAACCAAACATACCCAAAATCTTTGACTTTTTTGTATAGGTTATAGCCTATAGGCTTTTTGGGTTTTTGGGTTTTTTGGTAACTTTTTGGCTTTTAGATTAAAAGTGTTGCATGCCAAACAAGGCCTTAGATTTCTTTTATAAGCGCTGATGAATATGAATACAGTGGAAGTCATATATAACAACCTTTCGCTGAATTTTAAGCCTCATTTGGGAACAGACTATTTTAATAACTTTTTGACTTTTTACGAAAAGATGTACAGAAAAGTAGAAAGAGTGATGTGACAACTTATAGTAACTTTTTAACTTTTTGACTAAAATATATAGTTGATAAATGAGGCCTTAGACAAAATTAAACTATCCCCAAAAAATAAAGCCCGTTGTTTTTTATTGAAATATATATATATGTAATTCAAACTACTCTTCTTTTTGTTTCCAAGCAACCCAAATCATACATATACATCTATACTATCTATACTATTATACAAAACACACAATTCACTTGGTATTATTAACATTTTGTCACACAATTTTGACTCCCAAAAAACTCACAATAATACTACATTTTCCCCAAATATTTATCTTGCCTAACAGTTACTATAAAAATCAAAAGGAAAAATCAACTAAGCAAAAACTGATGTTCAGTTGCCCACTGCACCATTTCCACTCACCCACGATCTCTTCAAATGCACACATTAGTGTGCTTAGCTTACCCGTCTAGTATATAATATAACACAAAACCAATACACATATTTGTTCTAAATTCTAATATATAATGTGAGCACTCAAGTTGGTGTAAACTCTATCACGCTGTTTTTGTTAACAATTTTGCCCCACAAATAACAAATTTGGTTTGACAAATTTTGTGGGCAAACATGGAAACTAAAATTTCTCTACACAATTCAAAAACTATTTCAGTTTTAAATTCAAAAACTGTTTCAGTTTTTATATTTTGAATTCAAATCAGATTCTTCACAACCTTATTCACTGAAATGATACAATCTTATTCACACTCATCGCGTGTGCCACAACTTCTAGTATATGTATATTTATATAAATTTTCAATGGAGTAGAATAGAAACCAATTGGAAATGTAGACATGAAAATTAGAGACAAATCAAACAACCAAATCAAAAGGAGAAACAAGCTGGTTCGGTTTGCATAGAGTGATGGAGTTGCAGAGACGGGGAAAAAGGGGTATATACACAAACCCAGATAAGATAATGTTCAATGAAGTAGAATAGAAGCCAATTACAAATGTAGAAATGAACATTAAACACAACTCAAACAGCCAAATCAGAAGGGGAAACAAGGGGGTTCGTAGATGGGGGTTTCAAAATAGGGATTCTCACAGATTGGGAAAGTGGAGAGGACAGAGTTGAGAGTGAGAAAAGGCAGACAAATGGATTCAACAGGCATAGAAATGGGGAAAAAATAGAGAGAGAGAGAGAGAGCCATACCTTAAAGAGTTGTTGATGGAGAGAAAAATAGCAGAGAAAGTGAAGCTGAAGGATGATTTGGCAGGGAAGACTTTAACGTACTGTTTGGAGAGCCTCCAATGGCTTTCAATTGTAGCCAACAGGAAGCAAAATAACCAGCCTGTTGGAGGCCCAAAATGGAGTGAGGTTTTTCAACGTCATTTCAGTTCAGTATAACTCCCATTTTCAATTATTTGATTATGATTTTATTATGAAATTACTTTGTAAGACCCAAAAAAAATAAAATTAAAAAAAATAAATAAAATTAAAATTAAAAACAAAAAACTCTCTACCCTTTTCCCACTGGCCCAGGGCCACCCCCGAGTTTCATGGTGCCCTAGGCGAACTCTTCTACCTATTTTCACAAAAAATTAAAAATGTATTTGCTGATATCCACACACAGTTTACTTGCACATATATAATAACTAAAATATACTTACATAGATTAAGAAATCCTTCACTAAATCTTCATTCCCATTCATACATTCATTAGATAATTCAATCACCGAATCTTCATTACCATTCTTATTCAAACATTGAGTAGGTTCTTAATCACCAACTCTTTATTATCATTCTCGTTTATACATTGATTAGGTTCTTCAATCACCAAATCTTCTACCTTTGTGCTTCTTTTTTTATGCATAACTATTCTGAACCATGACTATATAATCAAAAAATCACAGCCACTCGCATCTCCAAGTAATGTTTGGTTTTGAGTTATCAAAATAGTTTTTCTTTGAGTTTTCAATTCGTATTTTTTTTTAGTGATTTTTTTTTTAACATTTGAATCATTTTTTTTATTTTTTTTTTATTTCTACTTAATCTAGATACACTTAATTTTTTATTTTATTTTTTTGAACAAATCTAGCCAAAAAAAAAAAAACAATAAATACCCAGCAAAAATACAAAAATGTACTGATTTTTTATTTAGTGAATTTATAAATAAATAAATAACACAAATTTTGTACTGTGTATGATTAAGTGAATCTAAGATAAAATAATAATAATTAAAAAATAAAAACATACACTAAAAAAATTTAAAAACGTAAATATTGAAAACTCAAAATTAATTTTGAAAAGATCCAAACCAAACAGAATGTATTCTGTTTCTAAAAATTAGAGCACAAAAATTATAGATTTCCATTAAAGCACGAAAATTAGAGACTTAACGCACAGAATTAGGGCACATAGGTTATAGCAAAGAAATTAGGGAACAAAAATTAGGGCAAAGAAGTTACGAAACAGAAACTAGGGCGCAACTACATTCTTCCATTAAAAACTGGTAAAGAAGGAGAGAGACAGAAAGCAATGGCTCACCGCCGCCGGCGCCGGACGTGGCTTACTGTGATGATCGCTGGTTGCCCACGCTGCTGCTGCACGCGCGCGCACACACACACACACGCGAAAGAGCCTTCTCTTCTGTTCTCAGAGTGTCTGAGCTCTTCGTTTGAATACTGAAAATGTGAAGTCACTACACCAAAATAGGAAATGCTTGTGTTTTCATAGACTTCTTTTAGGCCAAGTTTGGGAAGAATAAAAAAATTGTACTTTTTGTCTTTTTGGATTAAAAAATTGATGTTAAAAATATGGATGTTTTGATTAATTTTTTGATTTTTTATTGAAAAATGTGTAATAAAAAATTATAAAAATTAATTTATAGGGAAAAATTTGAATTGGGAGTTGTGCAGTCGTAATTGTTGACTTTTGATGTATAGTGTTAACTTTTTAACTTTTTGAGTAACTTTTTGACTTTTTGATTTTTTTGAAAGTATCCAAACTTGGCCTTACACTCTGTTTGGATTGAGAGGTGAAAAATAAAAATAAAAAATAATTAGAGGTGTTAAAATAAAATAAAAATGTTTGGTTATAAAAAATTGAGTCTGTTTTTTTAGACAATTGAATTTTTTATTTTTAGTGATTTTTTTTTTAATATTTCATGCAATTTTTTTTTATTTTTTAGATATACAATATATTAAAAAAATATAATATTTGTGAAAAAAAATCAAAAAATTATCAAATACAAAAAATATGAACATTTTAAAGATTTTTGTTATATTTAATAATTTTTTTAAATTTTTTTTTGCAAATATTATAATTTTTAAGCATATTAAGATTAAGTGAATCTAAAAATTTTACAAATTTTCGGTAATTTTTTTAAAAATTATTAAAAATATAAAATAATATGAATTGAACACTTAGAAAACTATTTTTAAAAATTGAAAATCAAACAAAGTAGTTTCTCATCTTTCTCATCATTTCTCTTTATTTTTCACAATTATTCACCTCATTAATCATCCAACTAGTGGTGAAAAATTTCATTCTCTTTATTTATTTTCTTTTCCCACAAAACTTCTCAATCCAAACGGATCAGAGTGTTTAGGTTCTTAGTTGGAATACATAAGTATTACATAATTGACTACTAAGTGCAAGTCTGCGTATGATTATTTTATTTTTAAAAAAAAAAAATTATGAATTGTACGATTGATTTGAAAATCTAGAAATTAAAATGAATTGGAACAATTAAAAGTTGAGAAATTTAAAAAAAATTAAAACCTTAATCTAGGGGTAACTGCCCATGTAACTAACTCATATCAAGGTATTTTGAAAAAATCTAATAAATAAGTCGTCAACACCAACTCTAACCAATCTAAGGAATGAGACGTGAACACTTTAACTATAGCCTTCACATAGTATTACATTAAATGAAGCAGAATGTGAAATTACAACACCAAAATATGGAATGCTTTGGTTTTTTTTTTTTTTTTTTTTTGTTGAACAAAGGGCCACAGCCAAAGCAAAAGAAAGAAAAAAGAGAAACAAGACAAAAGCCGAACGACCTTGGAGGAACCAGCCTCCTGCAAATCAAAAGCCAAAGCTAAAGCCAACGAAGGAGGCTCAACAAACAAAATCTCAAATTGCATAGCCATGCCAAGAGCTTCTTTAGCAAGAATGTCTGCACACCCATTAGCCTCGCGCCAAGTTAATTGAACATCACATTCCCAATCCTAATGTAACAGGTTCCACAACTCTTGACAGATATTGAATTAAGGATGCAAAAGAGTTGCCTTCTGAATGGCTTGAAAAGCCTCAGCCGAATCAGTTTCAATAATCACTCGGCGATGCCCGTACATCCAGGCAAGCTGTAACCCCTTCCAAATACCCTAAAGCTCAACAACAAGAATTGAGGAGGAGCCAACCTGATGCTTGAAATCACTAAGCCATTTACCTTGAGCGGAACAAACGAAACCACCACAAGCGGCTTGCCCAGATCGCTTGGCCACAGCACCATCAACATTAATTTTTACCCAGTCAGTCATAAGGCGTTGCCAAGCAATAAGAATGGAGGTCATGCTTAAACCCGTGATTAGACTATCCTTCAAGGCCGTGAATTCGTGAGCTCTAGCCTTAATGAATGCCACCTGTTGAAAAGGATCTATAAAATCTGAGTCATGAACTTGTTGATTTCGCCAAAACCAGAAAGAAGATATGGCAGCCATAAATAAAAAGGGCCAAGATTCAGAGCTGGAGTTCCATGGAGGAGTTCTCAAATTCTGATATACCCACTGGGTTAAAGGTAATAAGAAAAAGGCTATCCAATGAGATGGAGGAATAATCTCTTTCCATATACACCTAGCTCAAGTGCAGTCACACATAGCATGAAGCGTCGATTCATTATGGTGGAGACATAGAGAGCATGATGAATCTGGCACAAGTTGTCGCTGATATTTTAAAGAATTAGTCAATAAACGGTCACTACAGGCCAACCACGTGAAATATTTCCATCGATTAGGACCTTGAGCCCTCCAAATTAACCTCCAATCCTCCAAATTTGCCTCAACATGACCATCTTGCTGCTTAATGGCTAAATAGGCAGATTTAGTAATGAATTTACCATGAATAGAATGTTTCCACACTAAGATGTTAGGATTTTCAACTCCAGGCCGAACCACCACTGGTGAAAAAGGGCCGAAAAATTAGGAGAAAGCCAGTTGGATAGTTTGGCCTAGTCCCAGCTTCCGTTAACTCCCCAATACTCTACAACCTTTAAAACCAATTCATCATTAGATAGAGGGGCTAGGACATGATTAAGAAAAGGCACAGAGCCTAACCATAAATCTGTCCAAAAATTGATACGTCTCCCATTGCCAACCCTCCATTGGGCCACATCCCTTACCACCAAGGCACCTTTAGAAATACTACGCCCAGTGTATGAAGAAGTTGAGGGAAAAGGATCCCACACTTGATTACCCGAGGCTAAGTATTTGGAACAGAGTGCTACCGTCTAAGGAGTAGACTCATGAATAGTCTGTCATCCTAACTTCGCTAATAAAGCAATATTTATGGCTCTCATGTTACGTGAACCCAAACCCCCCTCAATTTTGGGCTTACACACCATATCTCAAGCCACAAGAGACATACGCTGATGATTTGGGTCTCCCCCCCAAAGAAAACGGCGATGACATTTATCAATGGTAGTACAAACGGAGCTAAGAAGAAGTGTAGTTTGCATGGCGTAGGCAGGAATAAAAGATGTCACTGATTGGATAAGGGTAGCACGGCCAACCAAAGACAGCTGCCTGGCCTTCCAACCTGCTAACCGATCATTGACTCGATCAATAATGTACTTGTAAATGTTCTTGGAGACCCGAATATGAAGTAAATGAACACCCAAATATTTACCCAGATCAAGAGTAATAGGAATGCCACTTTCCATGCTCAAAACGTTATAGGTTTGGCGAGCGACACACGGGGAAAATAAAACCTTAGACTTTTGAAAGTTGATGCGTTGGCCGGAGCTAGCACATAATACTTGCATGATGTCTTTCATCACTAAAACTTGATTGCTAGAAACCTTACCAAATAAAAACAGGGCGTCGGCAAAAAAGAGATGAGAGAACCTGGGCCCTGTCTGGAGATCTTAACTGGCTTCCATCACTTCTGATTAACAGCTTCCAAGATACTGTGGCCCAATTTCTCAATACAGAATAGGAAGAAGTAAGGGGGAAGAAGATATTCTTGTCTTAACCCTCTGGAGGGTTGGAAAAAGGAAGTATAGGCGTCATTCCAAAGGATGGCTAGCTGAGTTATAGAGACACACTTCATAATCAGAGTGATCCAAGAAGAGGGGAACCCCATCTCATTCAGAACCTGCTCCAAAAACGGCCATTCAATTCTATCATACGCCTTTTCAAGATCAATTTTAATGGCCATGGCCCCTTTAGAGCTTTTAGACTTGTGCATGGAGTGAAGAAGCTCTTGAACGAGCATGATATTATCCGTAGCTTGTCTACCAGGAATAAAGTTGCCCTGAAGAGAATTAACAAGCTTTGTGAGAAAAGGGCGTACCCGAAATACCAGAATTTTGGATAGAATTCGCATCGTGACATTGCACAAGGAGATGAGGCGAAATGATTCATAGTAGAGGGATGATCCACCTTAGAAATGAGGGTAACGAGAGTCTTATTCAAATCTGTGGGAATGTCTCCAAAGGCAAACATCTGCTGAATAACTGAGGTGAGAGCAGGCCCAACAATTAGGAATGGCAACGGGGTAGGGACGGGCCGGGGATCACACTCCCCGTCCTCGATCCCCGATGGTAAAATTTTCCCCGTCCTTGGCCCCGATCCCCGACGGGGAACTTATCCTCGCCCCTTAACGGGGATCAGGTTTCCCTGACCCCGAAATTCCCCAGACCAAAAAAAAAAACAAAAAAAAAAACAAACAGAGAGAGAGAGAGATCAACAACATCATCAACGTCAAAAACAACATCAAACAACATCATCAACATCAGAAGGAGAGATCTGATATGAGTAGAGAGAGAGAGAGAAAAAAAAAAAAAAAGATAACTTGTTTTTCA